TCGGTCATCGTCCCTGCCGAGACGGGGGTTCGAGGCGATGATCATGAGCACCCGCCCCAGCCTACTTACGTCTGCTGTATCCAGCCCGCAGTACCTTGCCTGCCTGCTGTAACGGAGCGGAACGCGGCGCGGCGCAGCCGTGCCTACAGCCAAATCAATAGCGCAGCGGATGGGTTCCTCGGCATTTTTGGTTTTCCCCTCGATCCCCCTTGCTGCTTGCTGCTTGCTTGCTTGCTTGGTCGGTCGGTCGCGGTGGGTCTAGACCCTCTCGCCTCGGCACGACGACCAGGCACCCTCGGAGAGCCAAGGCCATGACAGCTCAGTGCAACACTTCCGAGACGTTTGCGAGGCGTAACTACAGCTCGACGACGTGCCGCTCTGCCCCGTGCCGTAAGAGGCCGGCCAACTTCGGCCGTGGGGCCGGGCGGGGTTGATGACGGCGAGACACGTACGCCCCTGTACGCCGCACTTTCCCAACGGTTGACTGCCCGCCTCCGTGGGTATGGCACCTCGGCCGCGTCGAGGCGTCTCAGCCCCGCCTCGCTCGTCGACATGCACCTTGATCGCCGCTCGCTCAACGACACCTGCCTTCCACCGACAACGAGCGCGGACGCTACCGTATCGATTCCTGTGAGTGAGCAGCGACAAAAAGGGCCCCGCTGAGGCAGCATGAGCCTGCCGTTGTGTGCGCTGCGTACTGTAGCGAGCCGCCGCACCGATTCCAGACCGACAGCGCTCCAGGATGCTGCATCGTAGCAGCCTATTGTACCGTCCTGCTACAGGTGTATGTATCTCGCTCGGTCGACCATAGGGCTCACAGACCCGGAAGGGATCGAATGGCATTGAGATGCCAGGCGGCTTTGTCTGCGCGGCGACGAGTCACAGCTGCGCGTCGACGATTGTCTACGGACACCCCTCGGTTTGACTGGCGGCACATGCGGAGAGGATCTCAGCCTCTGTGTGAGCCTATCGCACCTGTCGCTCGCTGGTATGTACCTTGTCGGACGGGTCAGCGATGGAAGGCAGTCTTGTCTTTTGCACCGGTGGGGCCGGCTCCGCAAAAGTCGCCGGTGCTTCCTTCGTTCCAGCGGAGTAGGTGCACATGCCAGCAGAGTCGCCCATGCTCATCCAGGCCCGGACGGCTCTGCTGCGACACGAAACACGCTGGCGTGACCAACGGCGTCGCAGCGAGGCGCAGCCCCACATACAGCATGTTGGTACGTACCCTCTTGCGGCGTGGGTACATTCGCACGCAGTGCAGAATCGAGTCGAGAGTCGCGAGGCAGACAAGCAAGTTGAGGCAGGCAGGCGAGATGTGGCGAGGCGAGGTCGAATCGGTGGGAAAGCCAAGCCAGCCACGCTGGGACAGGTTGACGGGCAGACCCCTACGACGCTGCTTGTCGGGGCATAGAACTCGGTTGAGGGGGCCCTACACGCACGGCGTCCACCTGGACTTTTCGGCTACGTCCTTCCGATCCCATCGATTGACCGGCAGCACAAGGGTCGAGACCGTGGTTCCAAGGATTCGGTTCTGCCGTACTTGCCTCGCTGCCGGCGTGACCGCTCCCCATCGATTCAGCCGATGATGATGAGCCGGTCGGAACATGCCAAGAAGAGAGGCACGGGCCGGCGATGTCTGAGCCGACGTTGGACACCGAGGCGTCCGCCGCCTGCCGTATGGCCTCCTCTGGTCGCCAGATCACATCGAGTCACCGGTGGCCGATTGAAGCATGCTCGCTCCAATCCAAGGATCAACGTCGACGAGGGCGAGCGAAAGAGGCAGGCCATGCCATGGAGAAAAGGTGAGAGAAATCCACGACAAAAAGACGAGGCGCGCCACTGCGAACCGAACGGCTAGTTGGGCGTTCCTGGCCTGCACAGCCACCTGTCCATGCATAGTCTCTGTGCCTTTTCGGGTAGAGCCGACGACGACGGAGCGTTTCGAGGGGATGCCTTGGTGGTGTTGGCGGGGGATCGGCTGTGCCGACATCGCGCTCGCCGTACTGCGCCTTTGCTTGAAGACCGGGCGCGCAGCCCTGGTGTTGGACCCATGGTCCGGGCGGACCGGTGAGCCCGCGGGGGAGGAACGATCGATGCAACCTTCCCCTCCCCAACACCTCGACGGCCTGCTGGCCTTGGCAGACCGAGGGAGCCGCGGGCGTGACACGTTTTCAGATGCTTCGCGACGGACCCCTCCCTGCCAGGCTGCCTGCCTCTCTTTCCCACCGCTCATCCTCTTCGCCTGCCTGCCCCTGCCGAATCCAGGAACACACACGCACCTGTTCTGAACTTTAGCGCTTGCGTGCAGCATCGACAACCAGGCAGGACCCAACCGACATCCTGAAGGTCGTGCCTCGAGTTCCTGGCAGGAGGCGCTGGGAGTTGGTGTCATCGAACCAAGTACGTGGTCCGCCGGACGAGTCAGGTCGTCCTTGCTGGCCCGCCGGCGCTTGGCGTTGTCTTCTGCATCTGGCTGGACGAGTGTCGCATCGAGAGACGTTCCGGCGTAGATGCCGGACTGCCGGATTTGCCCGACCATAATGCCGGGGTTGGCGCCACCTCTTGATCCTCTGTTGCACCGCTCAAACGCAGCAACCTGGCAGGACCGGTTGCCTACCCAGCTCGCTCAGGGGTTGCACCCCGGGTCGGGTGAGTTTGCGGGCGGCTCCCATAGCGGCACTGCTGCTGTGCACACGAAGACTTGGTCGTGTGTTGCAGGCTCGACGTTCCTTGGTCCATCTTGCCCGCCGCCGTTCATCTTGCAACAAGGGCAGCCTATGCGTGCCGGGCCTCGAGCTAAGCGCGTACGCGATACGAACGGAGCCCAAGCTAGTCCTCAGGATGTCTCCTACATGCCCCCTCTCTTGCGGATCCGCCCTGCTTTTCAGCAGTAGTGCGAAGCTCTGTGATTGCGGCGACTTCCTTCACCGTTATACAAAAAGCTCCGCCTGGTAAGCCCGCACAGCCGCGGCCTGAGACACTCCCCTCGCCGTTCTCTCCAGATCGCGAGCTATCGATACGGTGGAATCTGGGCTGGGGACGAGCGAAGTGCAGTGGGCTGGGCTGGCCGGCGTCATCTCGATTCCTTTGAGGCGTCTTGTCGCATTCCAACGTCGGCCCATTGTTCGTAGTTACATATGTAGGACCAAAACTGAGGAAGTCGGCCTGCCTGCCTGTCTGCCAGCCGGCGGCGAGCCATGCCCGGGATGGCCCCCCCGCAGCATGAGAGAGCCAGACAGAAGACGTACGTATGTACGTGCTGTCTGCCTCGGATCTCTGAACGACGCCACTTTTGCGACTGCGACAATGCTGTCCTCCCGTCTGCCAGGCACGCTACGACGTCCCCGATGCGCCCTTCTCAATCTCTGGAACTGAGCAGCAGAATGGCCATTGTTACCGCGCTCGCTGCGATCGTCGCTTGGCCTGGTCTGGCCTGCAATGGAATGGTAATGCACAGGTGCCCAAAGCACCTCGACCAGCGAGTCGCAGGCGGTGCACGCGATGGCCGTCGTTCTTTCTTGTTGTCCTTGCCCTGCCAGCACCTCAACAACGGGGCGCCCCAGCCCCTGCTCTTGCATTCCGTGCGTTGTCTCTTTGGCTCGCTCAAAAGCCCCTCTTGCATTCACAACAACGAAGGACGGGTGCGAGGTTGCAGTCCAGAAAGAGGGGCTCCTGGCCGCCAACACGAGAGAAGGCGCAGGCCGAGGAGTGGACGGACGGGCCGCAGGGTGAGGGCCGTTGCACCTACTGTACCGACGGCTCCCCGATGACTCGGGTGGATGCCGGCGAGAGGGGGTCCAACCCACTCTCACGCTGGATGGAGCTGAGCGGCGGGCGAGCGAGTCCGGGGGCACGGCCGAGAAGCGAAGTCGGGGGCCGAGGGTTCGAGAGAAGATCGAGCTGTTCCGTATGCAGGCCCCCGGCCTCGACCTGCCTCGTCTACTGTATGAGCGAGCGAGCGAGCGAGGACCGAGCCCGAGGAACCGGGCCCGAGATCCGATAGAGCAATTCACGCCCGACTGGGGCTTCCAACCCGGGTGGCCCCGCGTGCGTTCCTTCTGGTCGCACCCAGGCGTGACGGGAGGGCGATCTGGGGCTGTCGTCGCCGCCCCCCGCCCGCTCCGGGGGCAGCTTTCTTTCTATCTTCGCCTCTCGTCTTCCGTGCCTGCCTGCCCGCCCGCCGATCCACCCGTCCCTTCACCACCGCCCTCCCACCGCTCCTCTGCCCCTGCCGCCGCTGTTGCCTTCACCGTCGCTGGCGTGCGCCGGGCGTGCCTCTCCGCGCCTTCGAACTTCTCCCGCCAGGCGTGCTGCCTGCCTCCCCTGGTCGCTGCAGCACTACTACTAGCTCCTGCGCTGGCGTCCTCGACAAGCTACTCTGTATCGAGCTCAGGCTCAGCCGCCAGAAGTTTCGGACGGCCCAGCTCTCGACGGCTCGCCCTACCGTACATGCCTGGACGACAAGCAAGGCTGGCTGGTGGGCTGGCTGGCTGGCTGGCTGGCTGGCTCCCTGGGCCCTGCAAGGAGCACGGCCGAGGATCCGGAAGCGATCCGATGTCTCATCGACCCGCTGCCTCGCCTGGAGAAGACCGCAGCGCTTTAGGCTGGTCGGGCAGCCGGCAGGCGCCTAGGCGGGCAGCTTCGTTGGCTCGTGGCGGGACCTGTCACCCTGGCCTGGCCTACTTCTCGCTCGCCTCGGTCGTTGGCTGGTTTCCTGGACCGGACCGAGCCGTTCGGCTGCCGACGACAGCACATGAGCATGGAAACCCCCGGAGCAGGTGCGCGGCCGCAAGGCGGCTCGACATCCTGCTGGCGGGCGCCTCGTGCGCTGCTCGTCGGTTTCGCCGGTGTGGGCTGCGGTGCTGCGGGTGATGACGTGCACGCTTGCTCGCGGCGTCTGCCGTCGGCCCAACCGACCGAGGACGGCCAAAGGGTGAAGCTAGAGAAAGGCGAGAGACAGAGAGCGAGAGAGGTGGAAGGGGCGGTAGCCTGCCTGGACCATGCTTGCCAGCCCGGCTGGTGCATCTGGGCCGGCGAGGCTTTCCGGACGTGTGCTGCTGCTTGCCTCTCAGCCTCCACGACCCGAACCACCGACCCGCCTCCTGGCTGCCCCGCCCTTACCTACCTACCAACCAGTAGTTGCAGCCGGCCAACGCTACCGCGGGCATACTGTCTACTCTGGACCCGCTGCACGTAGCTGGCTGCTGCGGGCACAGCCAACCCACGCATCGCGATCCGCCACCCACCTGCCCTGGCCCCGCCGACGCATCTTCTGCGTGCCTAGACGGGTGCCGCCGCCGCTGCTGCCGTGGATCCTCTTAGTCCGCCATCCTCGCTCGGCCCCGCCGGTTTTCAGCACCGCCACTCGCACCAGTCTTCTGTCTCAGAAGGGAGCCGCTGTCGAGCACCACGACTCGCCTCCTCCGCCGAGATCTCATCTGCCCCGCCCATCCTGTGCTGCTTCGGTGGGAACGCCGGCGCGCAATTGTCGGGACAACAAACGAGGCCAGGTGGCCCCCGGATACCGACGCCATCCCCGGCCACGGCAACACCCGATCAAGCCGTGTGCACAGGAAGTCGTGCAGGCAGGCGGGCAGGCAGATCCCAAACAAGCCGGAGCGACGCCGACAAAAGGCAATCAAGAGCAAGAAGCGGCCCCGGCCCGTTCCACCACTCGCTCCACCACCATCCCCCTCGAATCCTGCACCTGCACCTGCACCTGTCCTGCCCTGCCCTGCCCTGCCCTGCCCTGCCTTGGCCCAGCCCCGACCCAGACCCAACCCCTCTTTCGACCTCGGGTCTCGACCTCGCCCGGACTCGCGGATACACCTGGCGTTGGCAGTGCGACCGGCGCCCTAGGGCACAGCCTTCCGTCACCCAGGAGGGTCCGCATCGATCCGCGCCCTCGTTGCGCCGAGCAGGCGCCGCGCTGAGGTAGCGTCGACAGAAGGGTGCGACGGCCGACGTAGGATCTGGATCCCTCTTTCCCCTCGCCGCCCGCCGTGGTCGCCGCACCTTGAGTGGACGTAGTAGAGCAACTTGCTTGCTTGTTTTGCCTCGACTACAGTACACACCACCGCCGGTCCAGCAGCTGCCGCCCGCCAGCTCGTGCTTGCATGCTGCAGCTGCCTTCCGCTCAGCGCCACCATCGCACTCGCTCTCGCCGCCACTATTTGCAGCCATTGTCTCGGCCCTCGTCTCGTTCACAGGCTTCGATTCGTATCGACTTGGCGATCCTCATTGGGCGCGCACGACGACCCTAGCCCCTGCACCATCCAGAAAGCCACCACCACCCGACCCCTCCTCTCGCCTGACCTATTCCCAATCCCCGACCTCTCTTCAGAGACCCAGCCTGGTCGCTGATATCGCCGTCCGGTCGCCCTCAGTCGCCTTTGTTTGTTTCATAGGCTCATCCGCCAGAGGCAGCGAGGGACACGGCGCGGCGCCTGGGCGTTCTCTGGCCTCCCCGCTTCCATCACCACGCATCCTGGTCGTCAGCTCCGCCGTGCCGGTCGGTCGGGCCCGCATCAGCTGCATCGCGACAACGGATCCAGGTATCAGGGCCATCAACCAGTCGCTTCGCAGTGGTGCGTCAAGCCGCTCCTTGCTGTGCGGCCTCCAAGCTCGTGCTCCCGTCCTACGACCATCCTCCGGACCTTGCACCTCAGGCAGACGCTGCCGGACCTGGCCTCTCGCCGCAGAACTCTACGTCCGCTGGACCGCCGCCCCATCGGAGCTCGCCGTCGAGCAAGCGGGCCGAGGCTTGCGCCCCGCTCCGTCATCGAGCAAGAGAAGGTCTAAAACTCCGACCTTTTCCCCTCGCTCCTCTGTTCCCCCCTCTATCCACGTACCTACCACCCTAATTCCGACCATCTGCTCGTCGAGAGCAAGTCGCCGCGCCCTCAGCTTCTTGCTTAGTTTCCTGCGAGGCGGCTGTCGCGTCGAGAGCTGATCCTTGCTCCTCTATCGACCGTCGACCCTCGACCACCGACTCAACCCGACTCGGCTTGCCAGGCCTCGAACCGCCCTCCCTGTGCCCGACCGTCGTCCCTCCGACCGCTTCAGGCCCACTTCGTCGTCGTCGTCACGCCAACGCGCGGCACCTGGCCCCCTGGCATCTGTCGTTTTCAAACCGTCGCACCGCCCACGTCGAAGCCGTCATATCCTGGAGGCCCCCCGGCCAGCGTCGAACCGCTCTGCCCAGCACTACCCTCCTGCCTCTGTCGAGCCCGCTTCCCCCTCTTCGCTCTCACCTTTCAGGCTCCCGAACAGAGCCGACCGGTGGCTCTCACCGTCTTCCGATCAGCCACCAGCGTCCCGACGACCCTCGGCCCAGCTCTTGGCAGGCAAACAAAGCTCCGAGATCTTATCTCCAGGCACGTCGACCGAAGGGGCTTCCAAACCTCGGAACACGCCCGACGCAAGCATAACGGCAGAGGCGATCCCACCGGCGTCGTTTAGGGCCTCTCTTCCGCTGCAGGGCTTCTGGCGTGCGCACCGCCTCCTTCCTTGGCCCGCGTCCATCCCCTCGGCGCTCAGGGGAACGAACACGGTCCTGGACTGGGCAACCGGACTGCAACGGCCTCGCGCCTGTAACGCCGGCCCTCTATCGCCGGCCCTCTATCGCCGGCACCTTCATCCACATCGGCCACTTTCCATAAGAGCGGCATCCCTGTCCAAGCCGACTGTGCTGCGACAGACCCTCAAACAGCACCACCATCCCCGTCACAAGCATTTCCCCGTCGCTTTGCCAATCGCCAGCCATCGCCGACGCCTTCGACCGCCATCACGTCCGCCACGCTATTGGGCCCTGCATCACTCTCTGTCGCCTTTCTCTGCCCGCTGCACGGACGCCTCTGCGGTTCCTCCACGCCCTTTGCCATCACTCTCAAAGCGTCGCCGCTCCCGCCTGTGCCAATCACTCCTGCTGCAGCCGCTGCACGCGATCCGGCCCTGGCATCGCTCCCTCTTTCTCTCCGGCCTCCTGGTCCTTGCCATAATCAGCGACAGACCTCCTTGCGCGGAATCGATCCGTCGCTGGCAGGCTCGTTTCGACTGACTCTTACGCCAACGCAACCCGAGCCTCACCCTCATCGCACGCCGCCGGCAGGACTACGCGCGGATGCTGACCATGGCCCCCAAGAGCGATCCGCACCGGCACTTTGCGCCGGATCGCCAGCAGCTGTTCGGTTACGGCGATGTGGGCAGCATGGCGCAGCATCTCGAGCCTCGGACGGCGCCGACGGTGCACTACTCGCAGCAGTTCCAAGCGCACGAGCAGCATCGCGGCGCCGGCTCGGGCTTCGCTTCCACCTCGCTGCCCGGGACGATGACAGCACCGTCCGACTACGGCCTCTTCCAGAGCAGCGAGACGGCAGGCTTCCAGGGCCCCTGCCGGTGCTACGACAGCGGGCTGCGCTTCTGCACTTGCCGCAACGTCGACGCCATCGTCAAAGCGGAGCCTTCTGAGCCACAGGCGGCCCGGCGCCAGCCGCAACCACCGCGTCAGCCACAGCCACAGCCAAATCCAAGGCCACTTTTGGCGCAGCACCAAGGACCAGCGGGCGCGCCGATGCCATCTCCCTCACAGCCCCTTGTGGCAACGACTGGGACCGCTTTCGATCTCACGGACGGTGCTCTGGCGACGGCATCGCCCGCACCGCCGCAATCGCGCCTCTTTGTCCACCTCGGCCCGCCGTCATCGGAGGCCGCCTCTGGCGCCACAACAGAGAGCTCGCAGTCGCAACCGTACTCGCTCGCCTACCCATCGGCCTTCGCTGCCAGCAGCGGCGCGTCTCAGTACGCCTCCCATGCTTTCTCGACGGGCGATCAGCTGGGCTCCGTTAGCCCGTGGACTCGCGTCGGTCTCGGCCCGTCTTCATTGAGCGGCATCGGCCTGGTGAGCCCAGCGTCAGTCGGAGATGTCTCTCAACCGAGTCCCTCCTTTGGCGCGCTGGCGGCTTCCCCGGCGACGACGGTCGACACCTCGTACGATGGTCGCCAGAACGACGGCCTCCGCGAGTACGGCACGCCCGCGCAGACGCCCTGGTCGTCTGACCGGAGGTCGTCCATCGCCGCATTCACAGGCACATCGCAGACAATGGCGATGGACCACAGGACCATGCAGAGTCCCGGCGGGCCCTTGGGCGAGGCTGCAGCACGGAGAGGTAGCGTGCCAATTATCCGCTCCTCGCCCTACGGCCTTGCCAGCATCGAGATGGAGGGCAGGGGCTCTTCTCACCCGGCAGAGGACGTCATGGCCGAGCAGGTGCTCCTCTCTATCCCTGATCTGACCCCTTCAGTCACTGCCAAGTCAGACGGCAGCAGCGCGCCGCACACTGGTGGTCTCGCATCCTGGAACCAGACGCGACCCTCGGCCACCCCCACCTCGTCCACCTTCCACGTGCCTTCGTTGGTCTCCAGCTCGCACCAGTCGCCAGGACAGAAAGGGATCGGATCGACCTTGGATGCGTCTGTCTTGGCTGCGGCGGGCCCTGCGACGCACGCCGACGCGCCTTCGCTCCTCTTTAGCTCCGAGCCGTACTCGGTGCCTCTCACTGCGGGCGGGCCTTCACGTACCGGCACTCACACCTTCAAGCTTCACCTCGACAGCCAGCGCCAGAGGCGTCGGACCGTCGCTCAGCCAGATGGGTCCTTCACTAGCTCCCTCGTCGACTACCGCTACCCGCCGGTGGATGCCGGCGGTCCGTCCCCAGTTGGCCATGGCGGCGGCAGCGGCCACGACAGCTTCAACTTGCTGGCCAGTGGCCTCTCTGGCGCCTACGACCTCGATCTCGCAGGGCACCGAGCCCCCTCCTCGACCAGCGGCGCTGCTGCGGGCACATCAACGACCACCGGCCAGCAAGCGGGCTTTGGCTCCATGATGATGGCTGAATCGTCGGCGATGCCTTCGAACGCCTCTCTGAGGAGCGCAGCGGCGGCGGCACCGGCCCCATCCGCGGGATCCAGGACTTCGTCGTCGTACGCCACCGACGAGGCCAGGTGGGCGGCGATGCTGGCGCGCTCGCACGCGGCCGACCGGCACTTTCTCTACGGCGCCCTGACGACCAAGATTGTGTGCAAGCCGTCGTGCGCGTCGAAGCGGCCGGACCGCAACCGGGTGCGCTTCTTTGCCAACCCGGGCGCCGCGGCGGCGGCCATCAGCGCCGGCTACCGGCCGTGCAAGCGGTGCAAGCCGCACGTGGCGGGCACGTCGGACCAGTGCGTGCTGGCCGTGGGCGAGTGCGTGCGCCACATCACCCAGTTTGCGGCGGTGGCGAGCGTCGGCGGCCACGGCGACGTCAAGCGACACACGCTCAAGGAATATGCGGCCATGGCGCGGCTGAGCCCGTTCCACTTCCACCGGACGTTCAAGGCGGTGAGCTCGGTGACGCCGGGCGAGTACGCCAAGGCGTGCCACACGCTGGCGCTGCAGGATGCGCTGGGCATCGACGGCCACGGTCGCCGCGAGGGGCTGGATGCGGCGTCGATCAACCTGGCGCTCTCGAGCTGGTCGGTGCGGCGCGCGCGCCGGGCCGTGGGCGGCGTCTCGCCCAGCGTGTACGCCACGGGCTGCTCGGAGCTGAGCATGTTCCGCACCTCTGTTGACACGAGCTTTGGTCAGGTGGCCATCGCCTTTACTGAGCCGCTCTCTGACAGCGACAAGATTGCCTCGCGCGTGTACGCCACGCTGCTGGGCGACGACGCCGAGGAGCGCATGCGGCGGCGGTTCCCCTACGCCAACGACCGGCCGGACCGCGAGGCGTGGTTGGCGTCAATCGTCGAGGACCTGGCCTCGGCCAGCGACCGCGAGGTGCAGCTGCCCGAGGATGTGCACCACAGCGTGCGGCGGGCGCGCATCTGGATCGCCGTGACGCGCAGCCTGGCCAAGGTCGGCTCTGGCTCCGAGCTGGGCGATGACGACGACGAGGATGGGCCGGCGTAGCCCCGCTCACTTCGTGTCGTGGCCCCGAAGCAGGCGTAGCTCGCGCCCACGTTTGCTGGTCGCGCGGGACATCGAGGCTCGACAAACACGACCCTGACTGCCTGAGGGACTTGCCTCGGTGTTCCGTGGGCCGCCGTGCAGCTATCGCCCGCCTGACCTCTCCTCTCTCCGCAGCTCGGGCATGCATGCTCTATCTGCTGGTTTCTCTGGTTTCCCCCGCCTGCTCTCCCAACTCTGCCCCCACTCGAATGAATGTACTCTAACAGCCTCACTTCTTGGTCGACTCGGATCGGATCGCGCAATTCCAACGGGCCCTCGTCACCCTCATGCCTCATTCCTTGCGTTGAGAGGTACCGCTCATGAGGCGGCGGGGCGGGCCCGTCCTGCCTGGGATGAAGCATGCATGTGGATCGCTCATGATCAGCGATGGGTGGGGGATCAGGCGATGGTCTCTTTGAGCGACGCTACCGTCTGCTCGATCGAGGTGCTCGAGACGTGAGAAGGAGGCGGGAGGACACGCAGGTGGGTGCAGGCGTGTCTCGCGACGAAAAAAAAGAAAAAAAAGGAAAAAAAAAAAGCAAAAGCGACCCGCCGGCACCCCTCGACGTGGACCTGCGTGGGCTTTTGGTGCTGCGCTCGTTCCTCTTCCACCATCACCCCGCTGCTCTTGGCCACTCTGAAACTCGCACATCACCTCGAACCCCACCTGGCAAGTCATTGGCAGGCTGGCATCACATTCTCCACAACCCTTGGCAATGTCCCGTCGTCCCACCTCGATCCTCGTCCGTCTATCCTACCCGCCCATCACCTAGCACCAGCGCGGCCTTGACCACCCATCGACCATCATCGCTAGCACAGTCTCATCGCACTGTCCGCCATCTCGGCCAGAGGCTTGCTTCCTCGCACGCCCACCCGTTCGCCCGACATGGACGACTCTCCCACCTGCCCCTCGTGTGGCGCCGTAGGCTCGATCCAGTACATCACCCAGATCCTCACGACCGCATGCGACCGGTGCGGGTACGTCGACGACTCGGCCCAGTTCTACGGCAGCGAGTTCAACGAGCCCGAGAACTACGACCGCCCCGCCGCACCCGTCAGCGCCAACGTCAGTGGCGGCGGCGGCGAGGCCAGCGGCTACACCCTCGTCTCCCGCCCCGGCGAAGCCACTCCCGTGTCCAGCAACGCATTTCGCCACCTCTCGGCGGGGTACGGCCTGCTGCGCACCGAGCTGACATCGGAAGAGTCTCGCATCATCGCTGATAGGAGGCATCGACCGGCCATCACCCGCCTCATCCTCGGCACCCTCACCCGCGTTGGCCATCCAAACTTTGCCGCGCGAGCCAACACGCTGTTTCACCAGGCCAAGGCCGCAGCGCTGCAGCGCAGCAATGCCGTCAAGGCTGCGGCGGCGGCGGAAGCAGTCGAGGCCGGGGAGGATGCGTCGACGGCGCTCGGGACCACTGCCTTGGCTGGCGGCAAGTTCGACGGCTCGATCCGCTGGGGTTCAGTGTCAGACTGCATGGCCGCCGCCTGCTGCTACGCCGTGCTTCGACGCGAGGGCCGGATCATCGACCTCGAGACTGTGGCGGGCGCAGCGATGCAGCCGCTTCCGGGCGTACAGCGCTCGCTCCGTCATCTCAAGATCCTCGCGGGGCACAACCTCCGCGATGTGGGCTTCCGCCACGTCGATGTCACCATCGTCCGCATCCTCGACTTTTTCGACGACGAGATGCGCCGCACCGGCGGCAGTGCCCTCCAGCCCGCCGTGCGCAAGTTCCTCGGCGCGTTCGAGCTGCAGCGACGGCCGCTAGGCGGCGTCGAGGCGGCCACGTCGTCGTCGGCCAAGTCCTCCGTCGTTCGCGCAGGCCCCGCCACGTCGAAGCGACCGCGCTTCGACGACGTCAAGGAGCTCGCGCTGGACCTTGGCAACCTGTGGTGGCGCCGACGGCCTCCTGGGGTGTCGCCGATCCACGCTGCGTATGCGACCGCCGTGCTCGCCATGGAGGCGGCCGTCAAGCGTTCCGTCACGCTCGAGATGATGGTGCCCTACGCCTCGGTGGCATGCGAAGGGCCGAGGGTGGAAGACGAGCTGCCGGTCGGCGGGTGCAGGACCGATGGCGCCGGCGATGTGTCTCTCGAGGACGGCAAACGGCACACGGCGATCAAGGCGCGGTATCAGGAGCTCCTGTCGTTGCTCGAGGAGTGGTCAAGCAGGCTGCCGTGGATCGCTGCTGCCCCGCCGATCACCACTCCGGCCCGCCGGCGCTCTGCCACGCCGAAGAAGCGCGGCTCGGCCGGTGCGCCTGCGACACGCGCGTCCGAGACGCGGTCTCTGAGCCGCGACGAGCTGATCTGCCATGCCGCCGACATCATCAGCTTTGCGTCGCAGCAGGCCGACCAGGAGGCCGACGGCGTCGAACCCATTGCCAAGAGGGCCAAGCGGCAGGGTGCAGCTGCCGGGCAACGTCAGTGCAAGGGCGAGGAGGGGCGGGAGCAGGGCGAGCTCGACGACAGCGAAGTCTACCTCGACGTCGAGCTGCCGCGCGAGGAGGCTAAGACGGGCGATGGCAGCGAAGTCGGACAGCCGTCTCCACCTCGGGCGGCGATCGATGTCGCGCCGAAGAGGGTCAGAGGTGCGCTGGCCCACCTGGAGCCGCTGATGGTGTCCCTCGAGAGGCTAGAGAGGGCCCAGCGTTCTGAGGCGAGCGCGGGCAGCTCGGCGTCGTCCCGGATCAAAGACGAGGCGGCCGCTACGACTGGCGGTAGCGGCGGGGCGAGCGGCGGCGGTGGGGGCGACTATGCATCGGTGCGAGAGCGGATCGAGGCGGCGACGGGGATCGAGGGCCAAGGTGCGGGCGCGGTGCACCCCATTGATGCGCTGAGCAACGAGCAGGTCGACGAGCTGCTGTTCACGGAGCGGGAGCTGGCGTCGTTGCTGCGGACGCGGGACGAGGTCGAAGCGGTGGCGCGGATGCACCAAAGGCTGCGGGACTGGGACGACGACGATGGGCGGCGGGGTGGCGGGCAGGGGCCTGGAGCACCGGCGACCCGCGCGGCGAAGCGGAATGGACCGACGACGAAGCGGACCAGGGCGCTGGGCGTGTTTGAGCGCGGCGATGGCGGTGGCGGCGGGGAGGTCGACGGTGGTCCGGGGCGAGCAAAGAGGACAGCGGAGTCGTCGATGAGCGGCGATGGAGGCGACGACCAGGTCGGCGATGGCGGCATCCGCAGCGGGACGGTGCTGGCCGACGGCGCAGCTGCGAGGCGGGTGGTCGTGGCACCGATGATTGACCTCGACGAGCAGCAGGAAGGCTCAGACTGGAGCGACGACGACGACGGCGATAGCGATGGCGATGGCGATGTGGAGCGGGGTGGCTGCTAGATGGAGCGGCAAGGAGGATGAATCATCGCATGGTTGCATGCTGTTGCTGCCACCCTAGGCCTCGTGCGTGGACGGTTGACGGGCGATGTCGAGGGCCGAGGAGCGATGATGTCGAGGATGACTGTTGCGCCTCTCTGCCTCTGTGCACCGTGGCGTACGTGCGCGGCCCGCGTACGCCTGCCAGCCCAGCCTACCTGCCTGCCTTCCCTGTCGACCATCCGAGCCGACATCTGCTTCATGCAGGGTCTAGCACCCCAGGACCCTGGACGGCCTCTGATCTGCTGCTGCTTGCTTGCTTGACCTAGCCTGGCAGCCAGGCGGGCGGGTGTCGCGTGTCACTCTTCTGGTCGCTCGCTCCGTCCCGGCCTAGCCTGGCCTGCCTGCCTCCCGTACCTCTCTCTCCCTGCCTTGTCCCCCGCGTTCGAGGCCGACCGCCGTTGTAGGAATCGCACACGCACGTACGCGACGGATGTACATTGCCTTCGATGCCATGACTCAGGGCCACCTCGTTCTGTCCGCCGTCGCCGTCGACGTCGACGTCGCATGTGCGCCAGCCCAGCCGACTGGCAGCTGCTTCTGTGGAGGTCCATGCCGCGCCATGGCCATGGCCATGCTCCACCGTCCCTTCTTGCTCTGCCGCAACTTCATGTAAGACGGTGATATGCGTTGCGATGCCTGCCTCGCCGCTTGTCGTCATCACTCTCTCTGATTCGCCGCCGCCGCCACGAGGCCGAGGCCGGGCGAGTACAAAAGGCGCTCGTTGCTTTGCCTTGGCTCCTTCTGCCACCATCACCACCACCACCACCGCCCCCCTCGCTGATTCCCTCACAGCTTACCACCTCGCGCGACCTAGCACCCGAATCAACCGCATCGGCCTCTCTATCTCCTCATCACCAATCACTCCGCACATCCCCCTTTCTCCCGCCATGGCCGTCAACTACCTCTCGAACAAGGCGCAGGAGGTGATGGGCGACAAGCCGACGGCCATTTCGCCGGGCTACGAGGCGGCGCCGTCGGGCGAGACAATGGAGGCGCTGACGTGGCACGGCGTCCGCGACGTGCGCATGGCGACGGTGCCCAAGCCCACCGTGTCGGACGCCAACGACGCCGTCATCCGCATCACGGGCTCCACCGTGTGCGGCTCCGACCTGCACCTCTACCACGGCGAGATCCTCCAGCTCAAGCAGGGCGACGTCCTCGGCCACGAGGCCATCGGCGTCGTCGAGCAGGTCGGCGACGCCGTGCGCACCATCAAGGTCGGCGACCGCGTCGTGTGCTCGTTTAGCATCTCGTGCGGCCAGTGCGACATGTGCAAGCGCGACCTCGGAAGCATGTGCGATGTCGTCAACAAGAGCAGCGTCATGGACAAGCTGTGTGAGTGCGCGCGTAGCTCCCCTCCGCCGGCCTGACTGCTTCGGGACGCAGGACAGGGCGGCTGATGCCATAAATACCCCGCCCACATCCCTCCGCTCCCAACCGGGCTCCCAACCGGGCTCCCAACCGGACAGACGGCAAAAAGATCGGCGGCGTGCTCGGATACGGCCACTTCCTCGGCGGCTTTGCGGGCGCCCAGTCCGAGGCGATGCGCATGCCGTTTGCCGACCGCAACTGCTTCAAGGTGCCCGACTCGCTGCCCGACGAAAAGGCCCTCTACCTGTCCGACATCGTCTGCACCTCGTACCACTCGGTCGTCGACGTCGACTTCCAGCCGGGCGAGACGGCCGCCATCTGGGGCGCGGGCCCCATTGGCCTCAACCTGTGCCAGTGGCTCAAGCCGGACCTCTTCAACGCCAAAAAAGTCATACTCGTCGACAACGACGTGCACCGCCTCGCGTTTGCGCGCGACCGCTTCGGCGTCGAGACGATCAACTTTGACGAGGTCAAGGACGTCGCCGCCGCCATCCAGGAGCTGGTCCCCATTGGCGTCGACGTCTCGTTTGACGCCGCCGGCTTCCGATACGCCAAGACGGCCCTGCACAAGGCCATGCGCGCCGTCGCCCTCGAGACCGACTCGCCAGAGGTGCTCAACGAGGCCATCCGCGCCACGCGCAAGTTTGGCAAGATCTCCATCGCCGCCGACTACGCCGGCACCACCAACGGCTTCCTCATTGGCGCCCTGATGGAGCGTGGAATCCAACTCAAGGGCAACGGCCAGGCGCCCACGCAGCGATACATTCCCAAGCTGATGAAGGAGTACCTCGAGCCGGGTCGCTTTGACCCCACCATCATCTTGACGCACCGCTTCAAGCTCGAGGACACCGCCGAGATATACGCCGCGTTTGACGAGAAGCGCTTCGACGAGTCCAAGGGCGTCGGCTTGCTCAAGTGCTTCGTCGAGACCAAGCACTCGTTCCCGCGCGCAGAGGGCACGCCCGAGCTGTCCAAGATCCCCGAGCGCACGTAGGAGTCGTTCGTGGAGAAGCGGGGCGAGGCTGCTAAGTCAAGTTGGGCTGACCTGTAGATTCTGCCAATACCATCCGAGTCGTCGTCGTCGTCGTCGTCGTTGTCGCCGTTGCTGGCGCTTCTGTGCCCTGGGTCTATGCTTGAGCGCCCGCACGCATGTCCGACTGCCCCGGCTGTTATCTTCGACTGCGACCCTCGAGCGACGCCTGGACCAGCTGCTCGACGGTGATATCGCCTTGTCCATCGTCTTCGTCGTCCGATTGCTGACCGGCGAGAAAGAGGACGACGGAGCGCAACGTCCCCTCGAACCGGGACACGACGCCGGGGTCGAGGGCACCACGCCGATGGCTGATGGAGATCGCCAACTCGACCTGTCCTCGCCCCTCTTCCTCTTCCTCTTCCCCCAGCTTCCGGTCGCGCTGGGAGTGCGACCGCTTGAAGCCGATGCAATCGAGGAGGATGGCCGGACCGAACGGCGACGGGGTCTGGGACCATACGACGTTGCGACACGGTGCGAGGAGGGCGTCGACGTCGAGCGCACCGAGATTCGAGAGGCCAAACGAGCAGCGGTGCGGCGTGGGGCTGTGCATCCGCGCCGTGAAGAAGGCCTCCATCCCGCCCTGCCGTGGCGTCGTTGGACTCGAGGAGGGAGGGTGGTCGGGGATGTAGGAGAGAAGACCCAGACCTTGCAGCGCGTCTTGGAGCGTCGAAGGTTTCGAGACTGGTGCCGCGCGGAGAGGAACGGGCGAGGCAAACGTCAGTCTGGACGGGGGCTAGACGCGACGGCCTGCACCGAGGGCGGAGGCAAGGGGGTTGGACGTACTGAGGTCGGCGTAGCGCCTTGCCATGTTCCAGAACGACGTTGCTGGATCGAGCGTGGCCGTGTACGGGAGCTGCATCGCATGGCGGCGGGCGTGGCAAGGAGCAAGAGGAAGGGGGTCACAGCCCGATTCAGCATCCGTCCACGGGTCCTCGAGCGAGCGCGCCGCCACTCACATCGCCGACGTAGTTGCCCGTGCACGCCCCGTGGCCCCGCGCGGGCACCCGGGCCGAAAAGGGCGTCTCGCTCGTCACCCTGATCCCCCTCTGGCCCTCCCTGTCCTCATTCTCGTCGTTGCCGGTGATGGCGGCGTACCAGAGCGAGACAGAGGCGGCGGCGTGTACGAGTCCCTGTACCGTCGCGACGCCGTGTTTGGAGCCGCGTCGCTTGAGGCGGGAGAGGAGGCGGGGCGTCGACAAGGAGAGGATCGAGGTGTGGGCGGGACAGAGGTGCGGTGGCTTCCTGAGCCCCCTCGTCGTTGCGTTCTGATGGGCCGACTCGGGAGAGGAAGGGAGGTGACCCGGCCAGGACTCGGCGCCCGCATACCACTGCCACACGCGCTGCGGGAGGAGGGGCTTGAGCAACGTCTCGACGAGGACGGGTAGGAGGATGCGCCAGGACGGCTTCATATCCAGATCCCCATCCGACGTCGGCGGCAGTGCACCGGCACCATCCTCGTCGGCGTCGCGGCGACCCGTGATGCGTCGCGTCTCTTCGCCCCACCTCCGCGCTTCGCACTCGAGATCAAAGGGAGAGGGGGACGCGGCGAGCAAGGTGGAAAAGAGGTTGACGGCACCCTTTCCATCGACCATGACGTGGTGCGTCGTCAGGCTCACCACCACCTCGTCCGGCCCTGCATCTGACGCGGCCGGCGAGGAGGAGGAGGAGGAGGAGGAGGAGGAAAAGGGGTAGAGGTCGACGCGCCACAGCGGACCCGACTCGACGTCGACGTCGTGCATCCACGCTTCGCGGCGCGTGTGCATGATCTCGCCCATCCTCTCGTCGTTGCCTTGCTCTTGTGACGGCAGATGCTGCATGGGGTGGAGATGCAGGATCGTAGCCGCCTCGACGCCGTTCTCTGCGCAGGGTGGGATCCAGGTCGTCTTTGGATCGTATCGATCCTCGATCCGCGACGATAGCAGGGGAAGCAGCGCGAGGAGGTTGTCGATCCTCGTCGAAACGATCCTCGTCATGTCCTCGAGTGTGAGTCGCGACGACGGCGACGAGGGGCCGAGGGAAAAGGAGCCGACGATGCACACGATCGGTGCGTAGCCGACATTGTTGCGCGCCAGGCAGAAACGCTCGTGCAGGCCGATCCGACGACTGCGATAGGACCGGGTCGGGGAGCCAGCGCCGTCAATGGCCGTCGAGCTGGACATGGTCGTCGCGGAAAAGAGGCGGGGGATGATGGTGTGGTGTAGCAGGACAGGCGCGGAACGAGGCAGACACGACCAGGTAGGCGGGGCCGGTTCCTGACTCGACCGACCATGTCGCGAGCGAATGACTTCCAATGGCATTTTCGTTCACATTTCCGCCGCCGCCATTCCGAACAAGACGCCGCTGCTCTGCCGAGCCGATCCTGTTCCGATGCGATCCGACCCAATCCGATCCGATTCGGCGCACCACCAAGCCTGCAATGCCATGCCACGACAACGACGACGACGACTGCCACCCCTCCTGCCAACGCCTGCGCCTACTACACTCGCCACTCTGCCGCTCTGCCGCTACGACGACGACGACGACGGCTGCTGCTCGCCCTCCGAGACCGAGACCGAGGCCGAGGCCGAGGCCGATGCGGCCGGGTTGAGGCCCATCTGACGACCGACGAGGGCGAGGTAGGCCTCCCATTCGTCGACGACGTCCTGCTGGCGCGACACGAGGCCGTCGAGCCAGGCCTGGAGCGCGCCGCGAAAGTCGTCGACGCGCTCGAGGTCGAGGCGCTCCATTTCGCTCTTGCACCGCTCCGAGACGACGTGGAAGTCGCGCTCCCGCTCCAGCGCCCGCGCCTCGGCCTCGGACACGTCCGACAGCAGCGAAGACAGGTGGTGCGACGACACGCCCGAGCCGCCCGCCCGCACCTTGTTGTACCGCGCCTGCATCTTGTGCTGCTCGTCGCACGCCCGCTGCCACGCCTGCCACACGTCGAGCCGCGTCGCAAACGCTTTCTGTGTGTGTGTGTGTGTGTGTGTGTGTGTGTGTGTGTGTGTGTGTGTGGGTGTGTGTGGGTGTGTGGGTGGGTGTGTGTGTGGGTGTGTGTGGGTGTGTGTGGGTGTGTGTGGGTGTGTGCGTGTGTGCGAGAGTGCGTGCGTGAGTGCGTGAGTGCGTACGTGCGTACGTGCGTGCGTGCGCGGAGCCAGGAGGCGAGCGGGAGGGGGGATATGAGAAACGACGAAGGCCGGTCAGCGAAGTGGTCCACCGCCATCGCCCCGACCGCCACCATCGGCGCGACCGCTACTCACCCGGATGCTGCCCACGGTCCTCTCGTACTCGTACATGACGGTGCCCAGCTGGCGCACGTCGGCCTCGGCGAGCTGCTCCTCGATCTCGTACGCCCGCTTCTGCACCTCGGCCAGCCCGGCAAAGCACGTGCTCACGCTGCGCGACAGGCTGCTGCCGCCCAGCGTCACCAGCACGTTGGCCATCTCGGCCACAGCGCCCGCCAGCTCCTTGCGCTGGTTCGAGACGCCCGAGATGCTCTTGACCACCTGCCGCAGGCACCCCTCGAGCGAGTCGAGGTACACCTTCTGCGTCTCGAACCACTCGTCGAATTCGTGAAACTTGTGCGTCGCCCCGCTCGACGACATGGCCACCACGCCGGGCACCCACGACTTGCGCGTCTTTTGCTCGGGCGTCACAATCGCCCCCTTGACGGCGTCGCGCGCCTTGACGTCGGCCCCAAAGTTGTCGCTCTCGAGAAACAGCCGCAGGTCGTCGTCCTGCTGCAGCACCGGGTGCGACGCAATCTTGTTGATGCACGTCTCGAGCCCCAGCCGCCGCGCCTCGACCAGCTCGGCGGCGAACCGCCCAATCGTCACCTTTTCCGGCACCGGCGGCACAATGATGCCCGGGTTGTTCTGCACCAGCGCCGCGTGCAGCCACCGAAAGTCCTTGTACCGCCGCAGCGCCGAAAACTGCGACGCCCGGAACCGCGGGCAGTCGGTCGTCGTCCGCACCGTGTACACGATGTGCGCCGTCATCGGATCGCCCACCTTTTGCGGGTCGCCCACCCGGATCCCAAACTCCCACCGCTTCCGCGCAGCCCGCTCCCGCTCCTGCCGCTCCCGCTCCAGCTGCGCCGCGTCAAACGACGACCGGTGGTACAGCTGAGGCGGTGGCTGCACTTGCGCCGGCGGCTGCTGCTGCGCGGGCGGCAACGCGTGCGGCTGCTGGCTCGACGAGCCTTCGCTCGAGACCCGTCCCGCGCCCGTCGACGGTTCCGAGTGGATCGAGTGCGTCGAGTCGACGCCAAAGCCGCCGCCGGCCGTTGCCGCCTGGGCCGGTGCGCCGCCCACCGCCGTCCCGAAGGTGCCCCGCTGAAAGCCTCCAGGCACAGCGTGGTCCGTCCGGGGCGAGGGCTGTCCGTATCCGTCCGAGTCGTTGTCGCCATCGGCCTCGCCCGCTCGGGCCTTGCCGCCGGCGCCCTGGATGTCGAGCGCACGCACCGTGCCACCGAACAGGTTCTTTTCGTCGGTCAGCGACGCGAGGCGAGAAGGCCCACCCGCGCTGCTCCCGCTCATCGACCGCTCGGCCAGCATGCTGCCGCTGCCGTGCGCGCCGCCTGCCGCGCTGCTCCGTCGTCGCAAGTCGTCGCCTGCCGCGCTGAGGTTGAGCGGGCTGTCGATCGGCGCCGGGCCTGAGGTCGTGGCGCCTGGACCTGCGCCAGGTCCCGCCAGACCGGTCGTTGATGCGGTCGGCGTCGTGCCCAGCGCCGCGGTCTGTCCGTCTTGCTCCTGCTGCTGGTGCTGATGGTCGACGGAGCTGGATCCATCGATGGGCGAGCTGGGCCGGTGCACGCTGCGGATCGAGGGCGGCACCGAGCTGGACGGGCTCGGCAAGCCCGATGTGGCCGGAGGGGTGGGCCGGGCTTGCAACGACGAGAAGGACGGGTTGGGTGATCCGAGAGGAGACGAGCGCGGTGGTTCGTCGGGGCCGGCAGGGTCGTCGGCCAGCTCAGCAGAGGGCGAAGTGGGCCTTGACGTCGAGGCGGCAGCCGCAGCCGCAGTGGCGGATGGCGAGCCTGTGAGATCTGCCGGTGCTGCCTCGGAAGTCCCCGCTGCCTCTCCGTCGTCTGCAGGTTTGTCGCCGTCGGCGGCCTGCGCGGCACCATCAGCCTGCTCTACGGCCGCCGCCGCTGCCGATGCCGACGCCGCCTCCTCATCTGCCTTCCTCTTCCTCTCGACCTCGGCCTCGGCCTCGGCCTCTCGCACCCGTCTTCTCTCCGCCTCCTCGGCCTCGGCCGCTTCCTTCTCCCTCTGCAGTCGCAGCCTCTCGGCCTCTCTCTCCTCTTCCTCCTTTTGCTTCCGCAGCCGCTCCTCTTCTTCCTCCGCCTTGCGCCTCGCCTCGGCCTCTTCGGCTTCCCGCCTCTTGCGCTCCTCTTCCTCGGCCGCTAGTCGACGTGCCTCGGCCTCGGCGGCGAGGCGAGCTTCCTCTTCCCGTTGCGCCCTGAGCTTCTGTTGTTTCGAGGGCAGACAGGTAGCGAGGGGATGGCGGGGAAAATGACGATAGAGTCAGCTGGGATTCGACACGACCGCTCCGACGAGCAGGGCCAACCCGGGGCGCAGCCTGGACAGAGAGAAGAGGGGAAGAACTCGTGCGATTGCGGCAACGTGACACGTCTGCGGCGCTACACTCTGTCCATCGACCTTTCGCGGGCTCGCGGCCGTCCTTGGTCCTCCCCGGCCTGCGCCCCGCCCCTCGAACTCGCTGTCCGCTACTGGCCACGCCTACGCACCTCGGCCAGGTAGGGCCTCCACCACTCTTCAAAGGGGACAAAGTCGATGGGCACGCCGAGACCCTCGAGGACGCTCGTGTCCAACTTGCAGTGGCGCGGTCGGGCGGTGGCGGCCAGCGGGTCGACCTCGTACTCGGGGTCGAGGTGGTCGGTGCGGGTCTCGAGGCCGACGGCGTTGGCGACGCGCGAGAGGACGAGGCACATGTCGTACTTGGTCATGGCCTCCTTTGCGGAAAAGTGGGTGGTGGGCGGGATGTCCTTGGCGTCGGCCGGTTGCTGCGCAAAGACGTCCGACAGGCGGACGAGGGCCGTGGCCACGTCGTCGACGCAGGTCGGGTAGCGGACGGCGTAGGCATCGCACTTGACGGCGCTGCCGTCCGTGCGGGGCTGGATGGCGTCGAGGAGGACGTTGACGGCCGACTCGCTGTTGGCAGCCGCTGCGCCGTAGAGGACGGGCACGCGGAGGTTGGTAAAGTGGCCCGGCTTGGCGTGCTGGGCGACGGCGCGCTCGCCCTGCAGCTTAGAGACGCCGTAGGAATTGAGCGGATTTGCGTGGTCGTCGACCTTGTAGGGGGGCTTGCTGCCGTCAAAGACGTAGTCGGTCGAGATGTTGACGAGGAGGGGCACAGTGGGCAGGTGTGCGGCGAGCTGGGCGAGGGATGCAGGCACGTCGACGTTGATGGCGTTCGAGGCTTGCGGGTCTCGCTCGACGACGTCCGGCCTGCGCTCGGCCGCTGTGTGGATGATGACGTCCGGCTGGAAGTCGTCGAGGCAGGCCTTGAGGGCGGTCTCGTCGGTCAGGTCGAGCTTCTCGAGGGAGCGTTGCGGGTCGGCGCGCGTGAAGGCGAGCGCCTTGACCTGGTGGTGGTGCTCGAGGAAGCGGGCGTGGACGGCGCGGCCGAGGAGGCCGGATGCGCCGGTGACGAGCACCTTCATGATCGCGGCAGTGATGTGGAGGGTAGCGTAGCGGCGGCGCTGATACCGTCGCCTGGCCGGCCGGTGGATGGCAGGGATGCGGTGGTGATGGTGGCGTTGGTGGTGGTGAGGAGTCAAGGGCCGCGACTGGCTCAGACGAGCGACGTGGCCCGAGCTCCCTTGGCCACCCCTTCCCTGCCCGGCCAGCCAGCCAGCCAAGCAGCCACGATCGGGCGACAGAATCAGCAGGGGGACGCGGAACTCACAAAATGCGCCGGAAAATGCACGGGAAAATGCCTTGCCTGGCCGGAAGGGTCAGCTAGGGGCGCACAGCCAAGGTCCGGCCCGAATGCCGATCTTTTTCACTCGCAGAATTCGTTTCAAGACGAGCGAGACCAGTTCTTGCACACCATTTCCCATCGGGAACCACCCATCGCCCCTGCCCCGATGGGCGTGGGGGAAGAAAGGAAGGAGCCGTGGGCGGGCCGTGGATGGCCTGCGCCCAAGCCGGACTTGGCCGCCTGCGACGCTCCTTGGCTGGCCTTTGCCCACCACCTCGCTCCTCGAATCTGACGCCCTCGCTCCTCGACTCTGACGCCCCTCACGCCCGCCCTCGCCCTGCACCATGGCGCCGCTCATCGCCCCTATACGGGCCGTCCTGTTCGACATGGACGGCCTGCTGATCGACTCCGAGGGCATCTACACGCGCGTCGTCAACGAGATGCTGGCGCCGTACGGCAAGCAGCAGACCTGGGCCATCAAGGCCAACCTCATGGGCAAGCCGGAGCGCGCCGCCACACTGACGCTCCTCTCGTCGCTCTGGCCCTCGCCCAACTCGACGCCGCAGAACGAGGAGGTGGCGGACGACTGCCCCTTTAGCATCGACACCTTCCTTGCCGACCGCAACCACGTCCTCGAGGCCGCCTTCCGATCCGTACCCGCCATGCCCGGCGCACAGCGGCTCGTCACCCACCTGGCAAAGCACAACGTACCCATCTGCGTCGCCACGGGAAGCAAGCGCAAAAACTACGACATCAAGACCAACAACCTGCCCGCCATCTTTGCTCCGTTTGGTAAGCGCATCGTCTGCGGCGACGACCCAAGGCTCAAGAGGGGGAAACCCTTCCCCGACATCTTCCTCCTCGCAGCGAGGGAGGGCCTGCTCGAGGAACAGCAGACGAGCGACAGGCTCGGAAAAGACTGGACCGACGGCATCAGGATGTACGGGGAGGAGCACGACGCCGGCGGCCTGGCGGGCGGCGAGGCGCAGGTCCTCGTCTTTGAGGACGCCAAGCCCGGCGTCGCGGCAGCAAAGGCGGCCGGCATGCACGGTGAGTCGAGTCTCCAGCCGTCGGGCCCGCGCATCGGCCCTGCGCCACATCATCAGACGAACGGAGCTGACGATCAGCGACAAGCGCCCTTCACTCTCGCCCTCGCTGCCCATCGCAGTGGTCTGGGTGCCCGACCCCAACGTGAGTCACCCGCCTCGCAGCCACTTCTCTGTCCGCGCACATGCGCTCACGCCGCTGACTGCCCCTCTTTGCGCACCGCTCTGACCTCTGACAGCTCCGAGCCCTCTATCCGGCCGAAGAGCTCGGCGCATCCCAGACCATCGACTCGCTCCTCGACTTTGACCCCACCGCCTGGGGCCTGCCGCCCTTTGACGACGACGACGACGACGACGACCGGGCGTAGCAGCCTCGCGTCTGGGGGAGGGCCCGTCTAGCCATGCTTGCATTATCGACCTAGGAAGAGGAACGAGGAGGGGATATAGACGCACGCCGCTGCCTGTAAGACCTGAAAGACGCGGATACAGCTAGAGAGGGAATCGAAACGGATGCGACCGAGAACCAGCGACAGCGACGGCGACGGCGACGACTGCGGCAACGACTGCGGCGGCGGCCGGGCCCCTCAGGCGCGGAGCATGCCGCCCATGGCGCCGCCGGCGTAGGCCATCGGCTTGATGTCCGGGTGCGGCTGCGCCTCAAACGTCGTCCACTCGATGGTGCCGCGTTCGTCGATGCGCGCATAGGCGCCCTTGTTGCCCGTCGAGTCGCAGTAGTTTGGCGCGGAAAAGACGGTGCAGCAGAGGCCGTCGTGCTCCTCGGCATAGCCGCCGTGGCGCACCTCGTGGCTGCGCAGCACGGCCGTGACGCCGTTGAGCTCGCACCACGCCCGCGTAATGTCGGGCCCAAAGCCCAGGCCGACGCCCCGCTTCGAGGGCCCGCGCCCCCGAGCCGCCTGTGGGTCGCTCCACAGCAGCTCCATCATCAGCCCCTCCTGGCCCGGCTGGCCGATGCGGAAACGGTCGATGGCGCGGATGTCGTCGAGCGTGACGCCGTCCTTGGAAAACAGGCCGCCGTGGACGACAAAGAAGCGCTTCAGCCCGCGCTCGTGGTCGAGGATGGGCGAGCGCTGGGCGAGCGAGGCGCGGTAGGGCAGCTCGTCGCCCTGCAGCGGCTTCGAGGGCGCCGTGATGAGCGTGGCCAGGGGCAGCGCCACAAAGGCCTCGGTAAACAGCTTGAACGTCATGTCGCCGCCAAACTTGGCCTTGCACTCGCCCTCGAAGCCGTACACCTTGTTCATGTCGTTGGTCTCGTGGTTGCCGCGGTTGACGAGCGTCGTGGCCGGGTAGAGCCACTTGTAGGCAAAGATGGTCAGGGCGATCTCGACCGACCACGAGCCGCGGTCGACAAAGTCGCCGTTGAAGAGGATGGCGTGGTGGGCCGAGGGCCGGCCCGTCAGCGAGAGGAGGTGGAGGAAGTCGTAGAACTGGCCGTGGGTGTCGCCGACGACGTCGATCGTCTGGCCCACGGGCACCTCGTAGTCGACCAGCGGCGGCTCGCGCTGCATCTGGCGGAGCGCGCCCAGGATAATCTGCCACGCCACGCGCAGCGGCAGCCGCCCGCCCTTTTTGAAAAACTCGAGCATGGCGTCGATGAAGCCGGCGTCGATCTTGCCGAGGTGGCGGGTGGCGTCGTCGTCGCCGTCGGAGAGGCGGGGGCCGTCGTAGGTGTCGGGCAGGCTGCAGCCGCCGGTGCCCTCGCGCAGGTGGTCCTCGACGGTCTGCGAGGGCTTGACGCCCTCGGCCGCCTTGATGGCCTTTTCAAACTCGAGGCGGCGGATGAGCTTGACGGTGGCCTCGAGCTGCGCCTTGACGTCCGGGTTCCTGGGCTCGAGGCTGCGGAGCATCTTGAGGTCCGGGAGCGCCGACTTTGGATCGAGGATGCTGAGGTAGCCGCGGGCGCGGCGGTAGTATGCCTTGGAGAACTTGGGATCGAGCTGGATGGCCTTTGTCGCGTCCTCTATCGCGAGGCCGTGCTGCTCGAGCTTGAGCTCGCAGGCGGCGCGGTTGCTGTAGACGGCGGGGACGGTGGGGTCGAGGGCGATGCTCTCGCCGTACTTGACCTTGGCGTCCTCGAAGCTCGACGAGAGGAAGAGCCTGTTGCCCTCGTCCTTGAGCGCCTGCGCGCGCTTCCTGCGCTCCTCGACGGGGAGAGAGGCATCTGCGCGGCTGGGCGAGGGAGGGAGGTCCGCCGAGGTGGCCGACGACTGGTCCAGGTCGGCCGTCGAGATCGACGAGGCAGCAGTGAGGGGCGACGAAGGCGCAGTCGAAGACGACGCCGAGGGCGACGCAGAGGTCTGCGAATCGGACATGGCGACGAGCGGGCTGGAGCGCGCGCAAGTGGCGTCAGATTGCGATGGAAAGAGTGCCGGCAGGAGACGGCGACAGCGAGGGTGGGAGCGGTACCGATGCGGACGCGGTGGTGGTGGCGATGGTTGGTGGTGGTGGTGGCGGTCATCGCGAGGTGGTCAGCTGAGAGAGAGGTGTTGGTCTGAAGCGAGAGGGACGATTTTTTTCGGCCGTGCAAGCGCCAGTTCCGATTCCCGAAACAGAGGGGGCAAAAGCGGGCAAGGAGGCCAGGGTGGGGCCTCGACGGTGGAGGGATACGATACGATGGGCTTGCGGCCCAGGCCAGGCCAGGGCAGGCCTCACCCCGAGCGTGCTCTGGCTGACTGGCTCGCCCGACCGTCTACCCTCGTCGGCCGACCTGTTGGATTGGAGATAGCATGCACTTGCCCTCGTCGGCCGAACTGGCTTGTTGGAGATAGAATCAAATCTACAGGCGGAGGTCAAGGCTGACTCTACTGTACTACCCCTCTAGGAAGGTAGGTAGCTGGCAGGGGACCGCCCACGAGCAAGCAAGCAAGAGGCAGGCAGGGAGCGGGGGCACGGGCTAGAGCGCCAGGCTGGCCCAATGCGCAGGACAGAGGGCAGGCTAGGACAGGACAGGACAGGACAGGACAGGTCCGCCCCTCTCGTGCGTTGGCGTCGAGGTCAGGCAACGCAGCCAGCAGGCCAGCGCCAGCAGCTCGCACACAGACCGTACCGCAGGCAGGCAGCCAAGGCTCAGGGCAAAGGCCCCATCCCAGCAGCTCTTCGTGTGAAAACGCGTGGCCAGGGCTGCCAGGCGCGTGCGAGGTGAACGTAATTTTCCTCAGCTTCGACGGGATCTTATCTCTGCTGGCCTGCCAGAGGCCACGCGGGGCAAGCCATCCTAGCCTAGCTAGCCTAGCCTGCCAGGCCAGGCCAGGGCCACGCGCTCTGACCAGGCCGTGCCCTAGCCTGCTCTGCCTGCCTGCCTGCCTCGCTCTGCCTGCCTGCCTGCCCGCCCAGCTTGGTGGCTGGCGGCCCCTGCAGATCATTCTTATTCTGTGGGCGCACGTACCAGCCAGCAGGCTGGGCCAGCCTGCCTGCCTAGAAAAAAATTGCGGGAGACAGGGTCCAACCTGGCCAGGCTGCCACGCAACCAAGCCAGGCAGGCGGGGCAGCCAGGCGCCTGGCCTGGTCGGGTGCGGTCTGGTCTGGTCTTCTCGACCGTCGCCTCTTCCTTCCCTTCCCCCATCCTACATAAACCTGGCCCCCAATGCTCGTCCCTCTTTCCTCCCTACCACGACCACCACAACGACCAAAAGCACCAGTGCCAGCGCCAGCGCCAGCACGAGCACCAGCACGAGCACCAGCGCCAGCGCCAGCGCCAGCACCAGCACCAGCACCAGCACCAGCACCAGCACCAGCACCAGCACCAGCACCAGCACCAGCACTCTTTCCGCCCTCTCGCCCGCCATTCCCTTCGCCCTCCCGCCCGCCATCCCCTTCGCCCTCTCGCCCGCCATCCCCTTCGCCCTCCCGCCCGCCATTCCCTTCGCCCTCTCGACCCCCCTTCCCTTCGCTCTCCCCATCGCCCTCCGTCTCGCCCTCTCCTCCGCGATGCTCACCCGCACGCGGAGGGCGGCCGCTCGCGTCATCAGGCGCCGCCGCTACGTCCTCGTCAGGGCCGCGCGCGCCCGCCTCGGCGCCGGCCACAAGCGCAAGCGCGACCGTGCCGACGACGGCGACCGACCCGACAACAGGAAGTGCGCTCGCACCCGGCGCTTCCTTCGCCCTGAATTCGACATCTGGATCAAGACGCTCAGGAAGGGTCCGCGCAAGCGCGCGCGCCACCAACACGACGACGGCGACGACGAACGCCAACACGAACGCGGACACGACCCCACCAAAAGGGCTCGCATCGAGCCCACCACCGTCACCAAGACCGACGAGACCACCGTCACCAAGACCGAAGAGCCCACCGCCACCAGGACCGAAGAGCCCACCGCCGTCACCGAGACCGACAAGGTTCTGGACGCCTCGAGCAGCGCGTCCACCGCCATCATCGAGGCCGCCGAGCCCACCGCCGTCACCAAGACCGCCGAGACCACCGCCGTCACCGAGACCGCCGAACCCACCGCCGTCACCAAGACCGACGAGACCGCCGCCATCATCGAGGCCGGCGAGCCCACCGCCGTCACCGAGACCGACGAGACCGCCGCCATCATCGAGACCGCCGAGTCCACCGCCGTCACCAAGACCGACGAGGCCCTCGACGCCTCCAGCAGCGCGCCCAAGTCTCTGCCCAAGCGCCTGCGTCACCAAGACGAGGACGAGGACGAGGACGAGGACGAACACGAACACGGACAAGACCCCACCAAAAGGGTTCGCTTCGAGCCCACCGTCGCCGAGACCGACAAGATCACCGCCATCATCGAGACCGGCGAGACTACCGCCGTCACCGAGACCAGCGAGCCCACCCTCGCGCCCATCAGGAACGAGCCGGGCGCCACCACGGACGTCGACGACGTCGACAGCGAGTACAACGACACCAAGCAGGACGCCACTGCAGGCCTCGACGACGACGACCACAGCGACTCCTCTCACCTTGAAGACGAGGACGAGAGCGACAGCGACTCGAGCGGACAAGACGCCGAAGACGATGAAGACGATGAAGACGACAGCGACTCAAGCGCGGAAGACGAGCACGCCGCCGACGACGACGACGTCCCCGCTACCGACGACGACGCCCCCGCTACCGACGACGAAGCCGATCAGGACCAGGACGCCGCGCAGGCCTACAAGGAGGTTGCTTCGGGCGATGACGAGGACCAGCCCGCTCGCCGTTCGACCCGCAAGATCATCGTCACCTGCCGGTCTTCGGCCACCAGCGGCGAGGACGAAGGCGCCCATGCTCCTGCAGCCACGCTCGACCCGCGCTCCCCTCTGCGCCACCAGGCCAAGGCGGCTTCGAAGGCTGACCTCGACGATGATTCGGAAGGCGGCGTCAAGGCCAACTCGGACGCCGACCTGAGCGACGACTCGGAGGCCGCCTCGGACGCCGACTCGGACGCCGACTCGGACGACGACTCGGAGACCGCCTCGGACGCCGACTCGGACGACGACTCGGAGGCCGCCTCGGACACCGACCCGGAGGCCGCCTCGGTCGGCGTCCCGGAGGCCGTCTCGGAGTCCGTCTCGGACGTCGACTCGGACGACGACTCGGAGGCCGACTCGGACGACGACTCGGAGGCCGTCTCGGAGGCCGTCTCGGACGTCGACTCGGACGACGACTCGGACGTCGACTCGGACGCCGACTCGGAGGCCGCCTCGGAGACCGCCTCGGACTCTGACTCGGACGCTGGCTCGGAAGACGGCTCGGAAGCCGGCACGGTCGCCGACAAGGAAGTCGATTCGGACAAGGGCAAATACCAGGACGCGCGCCGCAACGACGACCAGGACGGCAGCGACGACGCCAGCAAGAGCAGCGGCGAGAGCGTGAGCAGCGACAACCAGGACGGCAGCGATGACGCCAGCAAGAGCAGCGGCGAGAGCGTGAGCAGCAGCCCGCCTCGCCGCCCCAAACTCATCGTCCACCACGCGCGCCGCAACGACGACCGGGACGGCAGCGACGACGCCAGCAAGAGCAGCGGCAAGAGCGTGAGCAGCAGCCCGCCTCGCCGCCCCAAACTCATTGTCAACTTCCGCCGCCCCCCGAAAGTCTGCGACGACGACGACGTCATCCACTCGAAAGCAGCCACACCCGATCCTCGCTCCTCTTCGCGACGCGAGCGTGCCGCCAAGCTCGCCAACGACTTGGCCGCTGCTGAGCAGATCATCGCCGCCGCCGCCGCCGCCGCCGCCATTGAGAACGATGCTGGCTCAAACCAGGTCCCAGCCCTGGCGTTGGACTCGGACTCGGACGAGGAACAGGACCGCCGCGACCGCAGCCGCCGCCACCAGCGCGAGCGCAACAACGTCCAGGCTCTCGCCGTCGACGATGACGACGACGACGACGACGACAAGAACGGCAACACTCCGACTCTCGCCGCTGACGACGACAAGGACGACCGCCGTCGCCGCGAGAGCAAGCGCGACCGCAAGCAGGCCCCGGCCCTGGCCCTCGACGACGACGACGAGGAGGAGGAGAAGAGCGACCGCCGCCGCCGCCGCGAGCGCGAACGCGACCGCAAGCAGGCCCCGGCCCTGGCCCTCGACGACGACGACGACGAGGACAAGAACGACAGCCGCCGCCGCTGCGTCGAACGCGACCAGGTCATGGCTCTTACCGTGGCAGACGACTCCGACGACGAGAGCGAGCGTTCCCGCCGCCGCCGCCGCCGTCGCGATCGCAAACGCGAACGCGAACGCAACCAGGCACTCTTCGAGAGCGGTGACGAGAAGGCCACTCCGGAAGAAGAGCTCTACGCGATGCGCCCGGCCAAGCGCCAGCCCGGGAGCCCCGACAGCGACGACACCTCAACGCCGTCCACTTCGTCGCTGGAAGACCTGCTCACCGAAGGACCGGAGGCCGAGGACTCGGACGACGAGATTCCGATCCCCGAGGAGCCAATGCCCCTCGCCGATGACGACGTGGTGATGGTCGACGCCGACGACGAGATGGACGCAAATGCCGCGATCGACGACGATATCAACAGCACCGCCAGCCAAGGCGCGGTCGACAACGAAGACAAGGCAAACTACCCCTGCATCGTAGACGAGGTCGATGACGCCAACAGTCAGGTCTCGGTCGACAGCAACAGCGACCGTCCTCAGACCGCCAACGCGGGTGACGTCAACGAGGACGGGGAAGGCATCGATGAGGGCAAGAACGAGGACAGCCTCGACGAGAGCAAGAACGACGAAGCCATCGACGAGGGCAAGAGCGAGGAAGCCATCGACGAGGGCAAGAGCGAGGAAGCCATCGACGAGAGCAAGAACCAGGAAGCCATCGACGAGGGCAAGAACGAGGAAGGCCTCGACGAGAGCGAGGAAGAGGAAGATCTCGACGAGAGCGAAGACGAGGAAGAGGTCGACGAGAGCGACGACGAGGAAGACGTCGACGAGAGCGAAGACGAGGAAGACGTCGACGAGAGCGAAGACGAGGAAGACGTCGACGAGAGCGAAGACGAGAGCGAAGAAGAGGAAGACGTCGACGACGAGGACAGCCCCGCGCCCGCCTGCGAAACCGAAGACGAGGTCATCAACGACAAGCACAACCGCAAGCCCACCTGCGCCGGCGAGATCGACAACGACGAAGACGACTTCGAGGGCGACAACCACCGCAATCGGGCTGCAATCGCAAGCGACGATGACGGCGGCGGCAGCAGCAGCCAGAACGTCAGTCGAAGCGAGGGCGACAGCGAAGACAGCCGCAAGCCCACCTGCGAAGGCGAGATCGACCACGACGAAGACGACTTCGAGGGCGACAACCACCGCAATCGGGCTGCAATCGCAAGCGACGATGACGGCGGCGGCAGCAGCAGCCAGAACGTCAGTCGAAGCGAGGTTGACGGCCAGGACAGCCGCAAGCCCACCTGCGAAGGCGAGATCGACAATCGCAAGCCCACCTGCGAAGGCAAGGTCGACGACGACGACGACCACAACCACAACCGCAAGCCCACCCGCGAAGGCGAGATCGACAACGACAGAGGCGACTTCGGCGGCGACGAACACAAGCGGGCTGCAATCGCGAGCGACGATGACGGCGGCGGCGGCGGCAGCAGCCAGAATGGCAGTCGGAGCGAGCTTGAGGACGAGGACAGCTGCAAGCCCACATGCGAAGGCGAGGTCGACGACGACGGCAATCGCAACCACAACCGCAAGACCGCCTGCGAAGGCGAGACCGCCAACGACGAAGACGAAGACGACTTCGACGGCGACAACCCACGCAATCGGGCTTCAACCGTGGGTGACGACGGCGGAGGCAGCAGCAGCAGCAGCAGCAGCAGCAGCAGCAGCAGCAGCAAGACCTTCAGCCGAAGCGAGGTTGACGACGAGGACAGCCGCCAGCCCACCCACGAAGGCGAGATCGACGACGACGACGATGCCAACCGCAAGCGGGCTGCAATCGTGGGCGACGACGGCGGAGGCAGCAGCAGCAGCAGCAGCAGCAGCAGCAGCAGCAAGACCTTCAGCCGAAGCGAAGTTGACGAGGACAGCCGCGACAGCCGCAAGCCCTCCTGCGAAGGCGAGATAGACGACGACGACGACAACAACAACACCAACAACCGCAAGCGGGCTGTAATACTGGGCGACGACGGCGGAGGCAGTAGGAGCAGCAATACCGTCAGCCGAAGCGAGGTCGACGAGGCCAGCCGCAAGCCCACCCACGAAGGCGAGATCGACGAGGCCAGCCGCAAGCCCACCCGCGAAGGCGAGATCGACGAGGCCAGCCGCAAGCCCACCCACGAAGGCGAGATCGACGACGACAACCCCAAGCGGGCTGCAATAGTGGGCGACGACGGCGGAGGCAGCAGCAACAGCAATACCGTCAGCCGAAGCGAGGTTGACGAGCCCAGCCGCAAGCCCACCAGTGAAGGCGAGATCGACGACGACGACGACGACGGCGGAGGCACTAGGAGCAGCAATATCGTCAGCCGAAGCGAGGACAGCCGCCAGCCCACCCGTGAAGGCGAGATCGACGACGACGACGACGACGAAGACAACCGCTAACCGGGCTGCAATAGTGGGCGACGACGGCGGCGGCACTAGGAGCAGCAATATCGTCAGCCGAAGCGAGGACAGCCGCCAGCCCACCCGCGAAGGCGAGATCGACGACGACGACGACGACAAC